GAATTGATTCATGTTGAAAATAAAAACAATATTTAAGCTCCAGATCAACAAGAAAATGTTTGATCATCCTGCTTATTGCTCCTGTGATATTTCCATTATCATCATACAAACCATTCTAATGCGCTAAATCATAACTAAACATTGGGCTGCTTGCACATTGTTTTCCTTTCAAATATGCATCAGAAATCCAGCAACATTTACGTTCAGCAGAGACATTAAACAGTGTGGCTTCTTGCACAAAGAGACCTGAAAAAATGGCAGTGAGAAGAAAGCAGAGCTTCCCTCCGTGGCGCTGGGTTTTCCCCTCAGGCACTGCTGTCACCCCACTCAGGCAGACTATCCCTGGCATCTTCCCCACAAACTGCCTCTCTATCTTTCCCCACAATCAATCCAGTCGCGCAGCTTAGAAATCAAGAATTAAACGAGAGCAGATCTCCACCTCCGCTGTCACTGCCTTAATGGGGACGATAAGCAGGTCCATATAATTACAATCCAGCAAAATAATTGTAACAAGAGGCTAAACGCTTAGCTGTACTTTTAATTAGCCAGTGCTTCAAATTAATAATTGCCGCTTAAATCAGAAATCAGCCCCACTGTTGTGGCGGCTGCGACATTCTAATAATGGTGGCACTCACTCGCCGCTTATTACGTTTCTCTATGGGAAGCTTTTACATTGGGGGGGCTGTTCTGGGAAAGAGGGAGGTGAGAGAGAGAGAGAGAGAGAGACAGAGAGGCAGTCTATTTGGTTATCTTCCAAAAGCAGCGGAGCTCAGCTAAGATTAAATTTATTCGGTTTACCATGGATATCACTGTTCTGTTCAGGGTTTTTTTTTTTTTAACCCACCACCCCCCCCTTTTCCCATTTTGTGTCAGAAGGAGGCGGGGAAGCGGTTGGTGTGGGGGGCGGAGACCAGCAGAAAGAGGGGAGGAAGAAACTGCCAATGCCACATATTCCACAACACAATCATCAGCCCTGCCTTCATAACCCATTATAAAATAAGCACTGCCACTGCTGATTAAGCTGCAGCCTCGATAGTTCTGCGAAAAATCACATTTCCCCAATTTCACTCTCGCCCCCAAATGTAGTCGATCAACCAAGACATGTTTGGAACCGAAGCTTCCGTCTTTAGTTTTGCACCAGAGTTTAGAGGCTCATGCAGTGAGCCGGTATGACATAGCGTTATCTAGGAAAATGGACACTGTACACTGCATGGATAGAAAACAGTAGTAGAAGCCTTGAACCATGAGTTTCGACTGATAATGGCATATTGATCGACTATTTCAGGATAAAATTGTGTACGTTTGATTTTTTTTTTTTAAGTCTACACTGCTGGACAAAAGTCAGAGACCACCCTTCATTTAGTTAATGTCCAGTCAAAATGACAATTAAGTACAAGTGATTCATTTTCAGGAGATATTTCTGAGAATGTTAGATTTAAGATGAACAACAAAGGGGAAAGTCCAAGGAAAATAATAAAAACTGTGAGTTTCCAAAAGTGGAGCTTAAAAAAAATTAAAGATTAATTATTAGAAGCAATGATAAAACAAAAATGGGACTCCTAACAACCATGCAAGACCTGATAGACACCAAAACTGTCCCATCAGATAAACAGCACTTAAAGCTTTTATCTTAGAGAGAGGAGAAAATCAAGCTGAACAATGAACTGACCACCCAGGAGTCCAGACCTCATCATCACTGAATGTGCGAAGTAGAAATTAGAACCAACTTCTAAGACTGAACTTTGAGGTTTGGAAAAAATATCCCTGCAGATTTCTTTGAAAAACTAAAAGAATAGAAGCTGTAATGAAGGCAAATAGTAAATAAACACTAAATATCATTGGTTCTTAATGTCAATTGTGACTAGAAATTAAATGGCAAAAAAAAATCTGACCCCATTACATGTCCATATGTAGGAACACCACTCAGCTGCTAACCTGTCATGCTTTACAGTGCCATGCCTTAGGCTTATTGAGAAAAGCCTTGGTTTTTCTGCCTTTACTTTCTTAATTAGCACGCGTGACCCCGCGCTCGCTGGCCCTGCTCTGTATTAACGGGGTAATGTAGTGTCGAGGGACTCTGTGCCTCTGAGACCGCGCCACTGACAGCTGTAAACGTGATCTATCGGCCCGTCAGGTGGCTCTGTCAGGTGCACCCGGCAAGCTGACATAAAGATAACTGACATCTTGCTGTCATTATGGCCAGGGAGCCGCCGTCAATCTCTCTCTCTCCCTCTTTCTCTCTCCCTCTTTCTCTCTCTCTCTCTCTCTCTCTCTCTCTTTTTCTCTTTCCCACTCTCTCTCGACTCTACTTATTCCCTCTTCTTCGTCGCTTATTTTTCCTCGACCCTCAGAAGTAGTGGCTGTCACCTCTGGCCGCGCTCTCGTTTTTCTCGGCCTGCTCCGTTTCGCACCCTTTCTGGAATAATTTGATGATGGATTAAACGCGGTAGAAAAGCCGAGCGACCCTGAGGAGCGGGCCGGAGAAAAGCAAGGGCAGATTGAAAACAAACTTATTCCAGCTCTCCACCTCACGGCCCTATCCATCACTCTCGGTGGCTGACTCCCCGCTGCTCCGCACAGGCCTGCCAGTGGAGCAGTGGGTCAACTGTTTGGACCGTCTGAAGTCTGGACAACTAATATATAAAATGGAAATCTGTCATAGCAACAAAAGCAAAGTGTTAAAGGATTTATTTAAGCAAATCTCTAATAGTAAATATCTCAGAAACTACCTTTTTACATCTGTTTTAGGATCAAAACATTTCGAAACTTATTAAATTGATTATTAGGTCATTCATCTTAAGACAGTAACTACTATGAATTAGGTAAATACTAAGAAGTGGATGTGAATGTTTGAATTGAAATGTGGCCCAGATTCTTGCATCTTAATGGGTTAAAGTCTTTCAGACCTATATTTCTATATATTTCAATATATTTATCCAGTTGTATTAACAAATATTTAATTATATGTATTTATACACCATCATCATTTGAACAGATGGAATATTTACCTGAGATTCATTGTCTTTTAGATAGTATACTAGCCATGGCATGAAGATAATATACTATATAAAACAGGAAGTATACCATACCTAGGAGTTAGCAAAATATGGAGCTGATTATGTGTGTGTATGTGTATATATATATATATATATATATATATATATATATATATATATATATATATATATATACGTATATATATTATTCTTAAAGTTGGAGGTACCCAAATAAGCATTTAACATAAGAAAATAAGCAAATGACATTTTTTGTTGGCTGAAAATAATTGAACACATCATCTACAGTTAACACATTCAAGAAACTTGGATTTTTTCTGAAATTTTTTAATAATTTCTATTTATTTTCTGAGTTTAGCATAATGGAAACAATAACACATGTATTTAACTTTTGCACAGGTCGCATTTTATGTTTCATTTTATCTCTCAATTTGTTGAATTCAGCAAACAAACAGTACTTGTGCATTAAAATGTGCAGAAGTGTGTTCTCTGTGGAGGATGTTAACTTTTCATTTAGAAAACCAGCAAAACGTGTTATTTGAATGAGGCGCCCAAACTTCTGCACACGACTGTGTTGTCTGGGGTGTAAAACGAGCCAAATGAAAAAAATCAGATCTGATGCGCTGATGTTCATTGTAAATTATCACACAAATGACAGTGCTAATGACTCACTGCATTCTTTTAACACAGCTAGCTTGCTAGGTTAGCTTAACAGAAATGATGATAAAATGAAGAGTTGGGATGTTTTTTACTTTAACAGCTGCACATATGTAACATTTATCGATGTGACAGCAATGCGTAAATCGAGTGGCCACCCACTGAGATTTCTTATCCTGTGCAAATCAGACCTGAAAATCAGTGGTAAAATTACATTTCCAATCTCTCATTGCAAAATACTCCCTCCTGAAAAGTATTTAAGGATGCTTTGAGTGATGAAGTAAGATGTAAGAGTGGAAAATGCTGTAACAAGCCTCATTCAGCAGCAGCGGGAGAATTAATGACAGGAAAACATCTCATAGGAAATAATCCTGGCTTTAGAACTTAGTCTTAAACTGCCATTAATAAAATAAACGATGAACACGTACAATATGTTGGTGGACGACCACGACAGGACATCCAAGTCCAAAATCCCCCACAACACAGCCAAGCGCCTCCAGGGACGGATGCTAATGCTAAAGCTAACAGGTCCCAAGGGGAGGCCTGTATTAATCTTGGGCCGCTGTATTGCTCTGCTGCAGGAATGTAGGCCGTTATGCTAATGAGGGGCCTGAGACACCGTCATCACCCTGGGGGCCTAAACCGAGCTCAGTCAGCTCTCCCACATGTCAGCCCGAACCGTGTATTTGTCATGTGGCCGGTTTGGTGCAGCACACATGTTTTCTGTCACCTCGCACTCCGCTCCAGGTGAGCAGAAGAGAGGGGTATAGTTTACCAAGGGAACGAAATTATTTGCTTAGTGTTATGGGGCTGCCAGATTTGCCCGCTGAGAGACCGCTCGAGTCGTTTGAGCTGTTTGATCATTTATCAGACTCGCTGCTTTTCCCGTAAACGCTGCACGCTAACGTCACCTGCCACTGGTTAAAACAAGCTTGGATTTCCTGTAAGAGTCCCCGCGCTGATCGCCTCGCGAGGGCCTTTTTAAATCTGAACGAACTCTCCCTTAGGCCCGATGTGCCTCACGCTGCGTTTTAAGACGCCGCGGCCTCTTCCTGGCAGCCTGCTCTCTCTATTCCTGCGAAGCATCCGCACGCCAATCCAGTTACTTTATCTCCTCCCTGTCTGCTTAGCGTCAAGCTCGGTCCTATTAGACAGATAAGGGCTTCCCTTGCATCTTTTAAAGGCAGGGGCTTTTCGCTGTTGATTTCTCGCATGCCAACTCAAATCATACTTACCGTCTTCTCTCTCTCTTTTTCTCTTTCCATCTGTCTCTCTCTCTCTCTCTCTCTCTCTCGCTCTCTCTCTTTTTCCCTCTCTGTCTCCCGGCAGTCATTACGAGCAGGACCGATCAGCGCTGAAGAAGAAGGAGTGGGAGCGGCGCACACAGGAAGTGCAGCAGGATGAAGATTTGTTCTCGACCGGCTTCAATCTGTTTGGGGAGCCGTACAAGGTAAGACCTCAGCCCAGGGGCCCAATCACAGTCTGCGCTTTCTCATCACACACAGGGGGCATCACCCCGGCAACAAGCTCCCGACTTGTTTAATATAAGAAAGTGGAAGGACGCAGCGTGCCACTTTATTCGCCATATCTCACCACCTTCACGTTTTGTCTCTTTCCAATATTCACATCATCGCACACTGAAAAAGTGTTGTTTTGAATTGAATGATTCAAATGTTCCACAATAATAAAGTACATAACATCAACACAGTTGTTTCCCAAACTAAGTGAAATGAACAACGGTAATTATGCAGCTGTAATATATTTAATTTAGATGGACCCAGTGTACACATTTCAGTCAAGTATATGAATTCTGTGAGGAATATGAAGTAAATTAAAGGCAGCATTTTTTTCAGTGCAGGGTTCTTGCAAGTCTGAGACCCCTGTGATGCTCAGTGTTACTTTTTTCCAAGTAATTGGAAAGTTGCTCCATTCATAATGATATTTTGACATATTGTAACAGACGCATATATATATATATATATATATATATATATATATATATATATATATATATATATAATGTCCTGACATCAGAGATATCTATATATGTATATATGTATATTACATATATATATATGTTAATTACAAGGCTGTTTTTGGGATTACTTGGTTACTTGGGTTGTAAGCACCAGCTTCCAAGACTGAACTTTGAAGTTATGGAAAAATATTCCAGCAGATTTCTGTGAAACACTGGAAGCAAGTCTCCCATAAAGAATAGAAGCTGTAATAAAGGCACACTCTACTTACTGAAAAAGTTTATATTGTATGTAGTTGTTGAGGCTTCTAATTTAATTTTTCTGTTAAATATATCATCGCTGTCCAAACAAAAACAAATCTCCAAAATGGTAAGTTTACACAAGAGAGCTTTTTGCTTTTAATGTAAGTTAATGTTTAATGTTTAATGTAAGTTATAAGTTTAATGTAAGTTAATGTTAATGTAAATCTTTTTGCAGGCTGTTTTGGAGTATTTCTATTGGTCCATTCACCATGACATTTTCACACAAAGTAAAGGGCCACTGCTCTGCTTAAATGATATAGAACAACAAAAGTTGCAGTTGTAGAACTGGGATACTTTATGTTTTATGCTTTTTTATGACTTGCTTGTACCTAATGGCTCTTTTGACTGTATATTAAATAAATGAAGGGTCATTTCTGACTTTTGCACAGTATTGCATGTAATTATATATATATATATATATATATATATAGAGAGAGAGAGAGAGAGAGAGAGAGAGAGAGAGTGTCACTGTCCAAAGAAAACCAAGTATCTCCAAAATGGTAACTTTACAGGAGAAGTCAAAAACACTCTCACCTTTCTATGTAAGTCAATGTAAAGAGATTTTATTCCAAGTGATTTTAGAGCAATTCTGTAATTTTTTCATGTATTACAATATTATCAGCGTGTATCACAATGTTCGCCCAGTAAAAAACAAAGGAAGAAACAGCTTTTAGTGAGTATTAAATTAATTACAATTCCTCCATTTCTGTCTTGAGATTACATCGCAGCTTAAGATGGGTTCTTTGTTTGCTTGTTTATTTATTTTTTAATGTAACAACCCACCATATGCCTGCAACTGCGGCTGAACATGCAGAAAGTATGAGGATCGTGACGTGTCACAGAATCTGGCAGACATATCAACAGTTCCTAGGCTTGTTTCCAGTTCCAGGCAAAAACACCTCCAGTGCATCCACTCGTAATGTAATAATCCATATACCACTGACAAGACCGTGTGTACGCTGTTTCATTCAAAGACACAAGCGCGTTCATCGCTACATCCCAAATTTGCCAAGTGGCAGCGAGTAGGGGAAATGAGTAGGTTTTCTTTGGATTGGCACCAAGCTTACACCTGAACCTGCTGTGTTGATAGTGAGTGAGTGGAGAAACAGTCATTAGGAAAAATGGCTACCAGAGGCCCATCCAGTAATAGACCTTTGTCTGTGTTGTTTTGTCAGAGGAGCACTTTCAGGAAAAATCTGTCATGTACCGAGATTGAAATCATCGTAGTGTCTGAATGCCTAACTAATCTTTTTGTGTGATAGTTTTTATTCACATTTGGTTTAACCAATGCTTCTGTAATGGTAACAGACATTGATCTGTGACAGCCAGTGGTCCATTTTTAATCATGTTTTGGCAGCTTGTATTTGTAGACTGTGGCGTTATTATGTGCCTACATTATTAACAAGTAACAGCAGAGTGGTAGAGGCGGGCGATACTTGGAGACTTTTTCATGTTACACAATATATTTGACAATCTTTTTTATGACAGAGACACAATGCACTGATAGTGCCACATTTAAAAACAGTTAAAACTATGAATACAGTTTTTTTCATTCAAAAATTCATGCTGCATTGCACTAAATACAATAAAACATGACTAACTGTGTTTATCTTTAGAATTAATCCTGCAGTTGGTCAGTATATTGACGATATCCACAATATATTCAGAAAAGCGTATTGTTGACCCAAATACGAGATCTGTCTTAACGCTCTAGCGTCCATTATATCTTCTTGTAGAGGTTTGGTGTGTACAGTGGATGTAAAGAGGCAATGTTCATTCTTTTGTGTTGGTGAAGATGGTTGATTTCGTCGCTGTAAGATAGGGGGTCTGAGGTGGGATGCAACTTAATGTTTCATTGAGCTGGTTGCAACATTTATGGTTCAGATGTCTGTGCTTGCTCATTGCAATATGTCATAAGCAGTTGGCCGCTCACAGCAGAAATAATTAGGTCTAGAGACTTTGTCACAGTACTGAAGGCAGGACACATAGAAGACCAACACCACCCAACACCAGTGGCTACAGTGTCTAGGCCAGTGCTTCCAAACCTGGTCCTTAGAGCTCCCAAGACAGTCCACATTTTTCCATCATCCCTATGTGTTGTGAGTTCTGGAGCAAAGATGTTGACTGTCTGGGGGCCCTGAGGACTGGGTTGGGAACCACTGGTCTAGGCCATTGGATTAGATTAAATTATTGGCAAATTATTTATTAGCATTTAATTTTTTTCAGTAAAACACTGTACAACTGAAACTACTGGAGTATAAAATGAATGAAAATATTATCTAAAATATACATCTACCAATTTTAAAACAATATCAGTGGAAATTGCAAACTTCTAGCTGCTTAAATTGGAAACAGGAAATATTTTAATGTTGTGGTCCTGCACGCTGCGAAGGCTGAATTCGGCCAGACAGCTGTGAGGATCTCCAGGGGCCGTCAGCTCCTCTCTCTTTCCCTCCCACCCCCCTGTCCTTTGATCTGTGTCCTCAGCCAGCAGTTAGCAGGTGACAAGAGCAATCTTTCCAGAGAACGCATGTGAAGGGGTAGTCAAAGCGCCGTCGATATGGAGGGCTGGTGTCGCTCGGGGGCTGTGAAGCAGGATCAATGCTTCAGCTTTCCGGGAGGGCCTCGACTTCTCTCTGTTCCCCAGGCAGTCAATGGCTCAAGAACTATCTCTCAGCCAGAAGTGGCGTCACATTTCGGGTCATCGGCCAAAGATGTGCCACTTTAAGTTCCTCCAGTTACTCTTTCCTTGATTGTTTTGTCCGTTACGCTTCTGCGATCTTGTCACGTTAGATCATTCATGCCGTTTTGTGACAGGTTATGACAACACTTTGCACGTTTGCGCGTAGGCTGTCAAGAAATTGACAAAAAGCATCCAATTCACACTTTGGCATCACTTAACATTTCACTGAGCTGACTGATACTGGTAGCGTTGCATGTAAACCGTATCGCATGCTACGTTCACAGATGATTGCGAAGCATCTCACATATGGAGCACACATGGCTCGACTAAGATTTAGGAGAGAACACTTCCTAACATATGTCTTCATGTATATTCTCAGTCTCTGTCAAAGGATCGAGTGTAATTGACAGAGACATGAAACAAGGTTTGTGATTAAGCTGTGTTCTTGCACCAGGGGGAACATCACTTTTGGTTCACTTGCAAAGCTAATTCGATCATAAACTGCGCTCAGACACCACAGTGTATGTGTAAACTGTAACTTTGAAGCGTGGCTTTCAAAGAAAGATGGCCTGAAACTGCTGCTTCCCACGGAGTGGCCGTTGCAGAACGATGCAGCGGTGCTTTCCCTTTGAAGACTAATTACAGTCCTCCCAAGACAAGACGCACTCTCCCCCTCATTTCTAGTTTCTTTCTTTTCTCCCTCTCGCTCTTTTTCTCGCTCTCTCTCTCTCTCGCTCTTTATTTTTACTCTGTCTCATCAGCCCCACACATCATTTATCTTCATCTGGGCACAGGCTTCTCCTCTTAGCTTCTGAAATTAGTTGTCCCACCATCACAGCGTTCCACTTAAAAACACCCCCGACCCCATGCATGTGCTCACCACTGCTAAAATTGGGTCACCATTCATATCGAGCGGAAAGTAGTATTGGACCTTTTATTAAGAGTTTGAGTTTAAGCATTATTAGAGATGCACCGAGACGACTTTTTACCTTCCGATATCGATATTAGATGTTCAAGTATCTGCTGATATCGAGTAACCATACTGATACTAACTCTATCTTACCAAACTACTTAATTGGTGCCTATAAATCTTAACATTTCGATAATTTTGCTTGTAATTTTTTTCCTTTGGTGTAATAAAAACATGATTATTTCTTTTAATGCTTGCAAGTATCACTCTGTAGCTCACATATACATCAGAAATTGCTCCATGGTTTCAGATTTCTCTATTAGGAACGTACATTACAACAAATTTGGATATTTGAGTATAGTAGGTGTAATATAATAGTGTAAGTGTTCATGAATGGATTCACAGTTAACATAAAATTATTTCTAAAAAAGGAAGCTGATTTGGCCAAAAGCAATTTATGACTGTAGGCTTGGCTTTTTAGGTGACAGCACTGGTGTTTCACCAAAAAAATCTAGCAGTATTCAGAAGAACTGGTTTTATTACTCAGCTAAGTGAGTAAAACCATCACGTTTGTTGGAC